TCATTCCTAAAAAGTTTCAGAATTTCCTCTTAATTATGGTATGTATACTCTCATAGAATTTGAGACTAATATTTTTATTCATTGAAAAATTAGAGAGTTTACAAAGGGTCCAAAACACATTTTCTTGAATTTAAACTTACTCACTCCTTGAAATTGTCAATTGCAATCTTGAATTTGTTCTTATACCATTCTCATCTTTTAAGAGTCTCTCACTGAGATCATCATCATAGGAAGTCTAGGCATGTTTACATGGAGTCCTATATGACCAAACTAGTCAAAGATCCTTCTATATTTAGTGGCATTTTAGATCCTTTTGAAATCTTGGATTGGTTTGCTAATTTAGAAGAATATTTTGGTTGACATGACATGTCGGATTCCTATTGTGTCCGTTTTGCTAAATTGATGTTGGAGGGTTTCGCCAAGCGGTATTGACAAGCAATCCAAGGGAGCCTAGGCAATTTAGGAGAATCACCTATTTAATTGGATTGAAATGAGATATAAATTGAAAGAGAAGTATTTGCCTACTTTCTACACGAATCAATTTTATGATCAATGGCTCAATCTTAGACAATATTCTTCTAGGGTCTCTGATTATTTTGCCCAGTTTGATTATCTCATGTAATTGTGTGACATTGTTGAATAACTTTGGACAATTGATTAGTTTATTCTTGGGTTGAGACAAAAAATTAGTATGGAGGTCAAGTAATACACTTTTAATACGTTAGTTGCAGCCTATCAATATGTTCTAAAGGTTGAGAGATTTTATTAGAAATTTAACTATAGCTTGATGGGTTCTCAATCATAGTCTGCCAAACAGCGTGACTGGGTACCTTTCAATTTTAATTCCACCACATATGAGTATCATGATTACTTGAACGATGTCCATGTTGTTTCTGCATGCTTTCCTAATCCGAATGTAGCAAAGGATTTAGATATGCTGGTATCGAATAAAGAGAAAAATGTTACTCATATTAATTTCTAACTCCCTCATTCAATTTCATCAGATCAGTCTTCTTCCTTTGCACCCCACAAGACTTCATATCGAAAGAAAGTGTGTGTGAGTCTTTACTTGTGTCAATTCTTGAACCATCATTGGTCTTGAAAATTGTGGAAAAGACTGTTGAGTTTACACCTATGCAAGATATTGAGCCAATCGAGTCATTTATTGCAGAATATACTGGTGATTATTCTGTGTCTACTTTCCAAGTCATCATGACTTTGTTACGGATTCTTCCCAGTCTAAGATTGTTGACTTTGTTCCTTTGCCTACTACCAAGTGTTCACTTGAGTTTGTACTTAATTATTTTCAGCACCAAGACGTTATTGTTACTCCTTTATCATTAAAGTTTTGTCCCACTGAATGCTTGTTGTTCAAGTCTAATGAGAATTATTTTCTTATTCTTAAATTTGTATGTAATACTTATTTGTTTAATTTTTCATTGAATGTTAGTATTAGTCCAGATTTTTATTTGGAGGACATGCTTCTTAATCAAGGTATTTCGGAGTCTCCTATTTTATTGGTAGGTGTTCATACAGATGGAGATTATTGCATTTATCCTGATCGATGGAAAGAAGTTGATGGCTCTTTCATTTTAGATGAGGTATTATGTCATCTTCATCCTCCTGTTCTTTAGGGTAGTTCTGCTTTGAAGACTCTCCGGAGGGGAGTTTTTCTCAGCCGGGGGAGAATGATGGGGATCGTATAGGAATTTGATAGATATTTTTGATTAATCATGAAAATAATTTGGATACTTTTAGTATTTATCTTTTAAATATTTTCTTTTAACTTTTGAGGGTTTATTTATTTGTTTTAGAGTTTTAATTTTCCTATATAAATGGATGCATGTAAGAGTTTTATTTAGATTAGACTTTGATTATTATTGAATATTGATATTGTTTCCTTCTCAAATTCTTTCTCTTTTCTCATCCCTTTCTTCTCTTCTCATCCCTAATTCTTCCCTTTCTAATCAACATCAATTTGGTATCAGAGCTAATACGATCTATATCAATGTAGTTATATTGAACAAAAAACCCTAGACATGAAAACACACGAAAAACCCAGGTCATGTAGTTATATTGCTTCAAAAAAACAAAATAACAATAGAGAAGAAACAGTGGGTAACTTCAGACTAGGTAATAGAAGAAGGAGAATAAGTTGTTTCAAACACCTACCTTAAAGGAAAGTTAGTTGAGGCTCGTTCGAGTGTCACACAATTGCCGGAAGCAAGGAAGGTGGTCGGAGTAGTCGCATGTGACGATCGTCTTTTGCCCTCTATTTCACGTCCCTTCTGTTTGCGTCCTTCGTCTGTTGACTCAACAGACGGGGGTTATTTTAATGTAAGATTTTTTGTTTTTGCCCCAACAGTGTTTTATTTTATTTTAAGTCCCACTCACTTTTAAATCTTTTCATATTGAATTTATTATTACATAATGGCCCCATTAGTTTTATATAAAAATAACCAGACCACGCAATTTTATTTACTAAATTAAAGTCCAAATGTGTCCAAAAAAACTAATTTTTATGTGTCTACAACTGCCCACCATTTGTCCGAAAATAAAAATAAAAAAATAAAATTCGGACACTCTTTTTTCATGTGTCCGTGTACCAGATGTGTCGGACACGGATACATTGAGTGTTTGTGCTCCATACACTTGCGTTTGATGGAATCTGGTGGTAGTTGACATTGAGGTGCTTGCTAAAATATCTCTGCGGGACTAATTATTTTATTTCATTTAAGAGACTTGCCATCAGGTGCTTGTTATATAAGGCATGCATACAATCTATTAGGATTATGAAAACACATGTAGGATTTCTTCATGTATTTTTTTACGTTCTTGTGTACTTTTGCATCCACAGGTGATTATGAAGTAAATAGAGATTGATCCTGATTGCTGTTTTACTTGGCGATGTACTCTATTAGTGATTATTCCATAAGAAATAGCATGCAAATCCTTTATATGCATTGATCTGATTTCCTCTACATCTTGTTGCCTACTGCTTTTTGTTGGAATTATACCATTAGGCTCTCACTTTTTTTAGAGAAGCATCTCTTTATTTGGGCATGTGTGTATAGAAAGAATGTTGCATTCTTTCTTAGGAGATTATTGTATTTTGTGCACTGGAATCTTCATTTGGAGCTTTTGTTGAGGATAAGTTTTTAGGAGGCTCAAAGTGGATGTGACTCCAACTGCTTAACAGAAACATCTTCCACAGGATCTCATTGGTGGTTCTTGGCAGTGTTTTTGGGTCTAAAACTGATCCTGATGACTAAAACTTCTGTTAAAAGTTTTTGACCTAACTTGGATTTTAGAAATTATTGTACATGAGTACTTTTCAATACAAACCCAATTGCAAACCTAGCTGTGCTGTGAATTATGTAAACTATGCTGGATCACCACCTACATGTTTATCCTCCACCTTCATCTGACGTATAGCCTGCACGATATTCTATCTTCATATGATGTATATCGTACATAATTTCCCCCTGTTGATTTCATCTCATTCTTGTTATGGTAGACCATGATGTGCAATGCAACATCTTGGAGTGGCCTGCGCCTGAGGTTGACATTCCCCCGATATTTGCCCCCCTCCTCTCTCTCTCTCTCGTGGATATTATTTAGTTTAATGGTTTTCCCATATCATTGCTTCTCAAAGTAAAATTAAGCCTTGGTGGGGCTAAAGTCAACTCTGATGGATTCCTGGTTAAAGCTTCCTGTTTTTGGGCCATGGGTGTATGTGGAGTCATTTGTCTATTTGTTATTTTATAATGGCCTGTAAAATTGGTGGCCTGACTTTTCAGTGTTATTAGCCTTGGATGTTTTCTCAATGAAACTGTGTGGTGAATGCATCTGTTGGTGCTCAACATTCACTATCTGAATTTCTAGTGTTGTGGTAACGATAAGGATTGCCTTCGGCTGAATGCGCTTCTCAATGCGGATGAGTCACCATGCACTTCACCCAATTTGTGTGGGGAGAACCAAGACCACCTGATCCATTGCTGATATTCCAAGAATCTTATGGAGACCATGTAATTCGTAGAAACTTTTACAGGCGACTTTTTGTGTGAGGGATGGGCAACGTTGTTGCTGTCAAAACATTTTATTAGTTTACTACTTCCTCTATCGGTCTACTATTCTCCAATATTTTATTTCTCAATAAAGCCTCTGATCTATTACAGGTGGAGCCGAAACGTCAAAAGACGTGAGTAAGTTTGGAGGAGAGACCATGAGGCATGAAGCGAGGCCACTTTTTGTTTGCAAGTTTAGCACATCAGCTGCTGTTGTGGGTATTGTACAGTGCAGAAAACCATACTGGGGCTCTGCTCAGACTGGTGACTTTTAGGCATTGAGGTGCTATGTTGACGTGTATGTGTTAGAATTAGGGTCTGATTATGTGCTATACAGATTATGCAGAAAGCTGATACAGTTATTTAGTTGACAGGAAATTGTTATTTTGAATCTGGTTATATGGAAGCTATTAGATTTTTTTTTTTTTTTTGGTTAAACGGTTAGAAATGTCTGGGCTAATTTATGCACACCTCGACTAATCTTCTTCTTTATCCGATCAAAGATAAGTCATCCACTTTGGAATTAAAGTATTTATGAGGAATAAATACCTTATGACCGAGGTCTCAAGGAGTTTTCAAGATTTGAGTTCAGGGACGTTTGAGTTTTCAGTTCAACCTTGTTATTATTTGAACTACTATTTGGGATTAACAACCATTAGATATCATTTTCAACTGGTATATAACCATGTGTTGGAATCAAGGTTTTCCTTTCCAATTGTATATATAGTATGTTTTCTGTGAAAACCACCTATCTATATTCTGGTATAAAGTTGCATACATCTTTAGATGTTGCAATGATAAAAGTCTTATGTACTAAGTTACTCTTTATTTTCGGTTTTTTTTTTTGGGAGGTGGGGTAATGGGAATCTTGACTTTCCATGCTCTCTGGCAATGATAATAGTTAGGATTAATTCCTTGTGCTTTATTTGCACACTTCATTTTCTATATCGCAACAAAAATTATTAACTCATTTCTCCCAATTAGTCCTATATCAGGAGTCATGTACAACATAAACGAACCAATGAATGCCACATTTAATTGGCAAAGCGCTCGATAAAACAATGATACTCAAAATGTAAAAGTATAATGACCCTTCTGAGAAAAAAAAAATTCAAAATACAAGTGGAATTTATGAACCCTTGCCAGCCACAGACTCAGTTGCATTGAACATGCACTCATCGCACCGTGGATACCTGTATACGCTCCTTCCAGTGGGCCGTGAAAAGACCCGTTTCGTTTGTCTTACTGCCTTCCTCACTCTTTTTTCAAACACCTTCCACTCTATCGTGTCGTTTTTTAAAAAGATGTCTGCAAGTCTGCGTTTGTTTGGTCGTATTGTTGGCATCTTGCCCCCGCCATAGTATATCCGGTAACCAGACACCAAAGATGACAATTGACTCCCAGAGTCCGTCATGGCAAACACATTAGCAGCTGTGCAGCCTATGAAGTCCAGTGCTGCTAACTGCAAAAGATTTCAGCTCTTCAAATCACCATCAACAAAAATAACAAACAAGGTGCTATAATTTTTGTAACCCCCCCCCCCCCCCCCCTTCCCTTCTTCTTAGGTTAAATATTCAAGATTTCAGTCTACAGTATTCATAAACACAGTAAACAGTTAAGAATGGTTCAAATAGTGTGATAAAGTTTGTGTGAAGGTAATATTATTTTTGTATATTCGACACACGTCAAACCTGTAGATTTGGAGAATGCACACAGCATAGGACAACTCAAATGAGTCTTGTCTCAATCATTTGGGGTTAGTTATCTGAACCATGTTCCACTATTATTGCACTCAATATAGAACAGTGCATGACAAAAGCACATTTTACAATGAACTCAATAATAAACAACAGCCACAATATCCAACAAGAACCCAGACCCAAAATAGATCCAGGATGAATAATATGTCCCGAGGGTATTGACTACTAAGCAACCCTAAACACTACAATTTGAGGCAGTCATCAGACCGAACAATTCCTAAACATTCAAGACTACACATTTTGCAATCCGCTCTCAACATCATTAGGCATTCTGAAAACCTGTTTCTCTAAAAAAATCAATAAGATGGCAGAATGAAAAGATTCCATGGAGGATGGACCTTAACCCCACAAGCTTCAACAAGGTGCTTACTAAAAATATACCTAGGGAATCTACACACAAAACTTGTGCTTATATCCATGATTGTCAAATCGTGTATCGGAAGATGTATCGTTTTCTAAAAATAGTGCATCACGTATTGTATCATATACCGTATATCGTAAGATACGTACAATTCTAAATAATTATTAATAAAATATATATACCTTCACAAAAAAAGTCAAACTCATAAAAATATAATATTTCATTAATATTCTACCAACTATTCAAATTTCCAATATAGTTCACTAATATCAAAATGTAAAGACCTCTAATTAAAACTTTAAAAGGACTTTTGTTGTGCGATGGATTGAAGAGGGGTTTCTACTTCTTCGTAGATGCATTAGACAAGATCTGCTTTTGGTCTTTTTTGATCAGCAGAACTAAAGAACTTTATTCTTTTAAGCCCTAGTCGGTCAAACGACGTCGTTTCATTGGCTAAGGCTTAAAAAAAATAATATCCCACGTTAAATGGCATCGTTTTAGCATCAACAACCAAAAAAAATAAAAATGAAATTATCTACATGTATTGGTCGATACGTATCTTGTATAATATGAGATGATGAAAAAACAATACAGAATCATGATTCATATCGTTTTTCTTGTGTATCATGACGTACGATACTAATATAACTGCTACATAGTAAAGTTTCAATTATTGAATATTATTTTACCACTCCTAGGAGTTAGGAGACGAGTAGATACCGTCTAGAACTTTAGGAAGCCTAAAAACTTCGAGCATATTAAGATCAAACATTTATTTAGTACGTACTCTTCCATCGAGCAAGCAAAAAAATATATATTTCTGCCTATATGCAGTCCAATGGGACATAATTAATTCAAGCACCAATAATTAGAGGTTGCCTAAGAATCATAGACACGACATTTCTCCAAAAAGTAGTATATGGACACATTGGGCACATGTTATAGATAATTGTGTTTTTTATATAAAACTAAATAATTTATCACAAATATAGTGATAATGATATATTATTCATAATAAATTCAGTATTTTATGATAGGTAAATGTTATGTCTAGTTATGTGGTGTGAAGTTTTGAACCAAAGTATCATAATAGTCAATAATCATAAAAACATTTGGTAGACAATGTGTACCCACCATATATAATGTAAATGATTGTTCTCATTTTCTCAATTTTTCTTTTTTAAAACTTTTATGTATTATTTACGTTTATTATTAAATTTTGATTACAACTTCAACATGTCTAGTGTTGTTAATTATATATTTTCTCATATAAGATACTTATTAGTCAAACTTTTAATTTTGTTAATCACATATCAACACATGTTTATTATTTAGTGGTAAACATGACCTAAAAAAGTGTCGGACACATGTCCAAAATTAAAATTTTATTATTTAATTATAGACACGGATAAAAAAAGTATCGGACATGTTTTTGAAGAGTGTTCGACATGGTTATGTTACCTTCTTGAGAGTGTACGTGCTTCATAAAAGGTTGCACTACAATGTTAACATTTTTAATTTATAACTATTCCATATACTAAATATGGGTGTTTGGCTGTAGAAGAATCACTTTGCAAGAATAGTGCAACACAGTGTCCTAACAATTAATAGCTGAATACACATGGCAAAATAAAACTTACACCAGGTAAATATAACAACTGTGGAAAAAACATACTCATTTAAAGAGAACAGAAAATTTTTACCTGAGATGAGAAATTCATGAATGGTTCAATTTCATGAGAGGAAAGCAAGCTCTCCTTGGTAATCAAATTAGGAAACAAGTTAGTCAAGGCAGCTAATCTTGACTTTCCTCCATAAATATGTGCACCTGCCAGGAATATGCGTGTCTTACGATTAAAACCCAAAGCGGCAAGCATAAGCACTGTTTCTTCAGGCATTAATGGACATAAGCCTTCTGACTTAAGAGCTGCTGAAGAGGGTAACCTGCAGCGTATTGGAAGATTTGTTTTAGGATAAATTAACATGATTGTGATAGCAATACTCAGCAATTCCAAATTGCAATGCAAATAAAAACATCAGTGCAGTTTCTCAAGTAGTTTATTACCCAAGGCATAATTTAATTAGGACTGACAATCATATTCTCAGTACATAGGGTGATTAATACTCCATCTGCAACCAATTCGCTACTTCCCGCAACAGGGAAAGATGCCCATATCTCAAGAAGCCATTTCCCAAAAACATAGTTCGTCCTAGGATTCAAGGTTTTCTTCAAATCCCAAGAACAAGATGTGGATATGGATTTGAAGAAAACTATTGTCTTTAATTTTTAAGAAGTTTCTCACCTCTATTGTGATCTCAACATGATATGCTTGATGCACAGTTGCCACTTGCCACACTTATCAGTTTCTTACATTATTTCTTCTTTTTTTCCTATTTACTTGTTTTAACATTCAACTTTGTGTGCATCATTGACAAGAATCTTTAATACATTCCTTCGTTTGGATGTCATGCCAACACTTTTACCACCATGCTATGAAGGCTTTGGCTTGGTAACCAACCACACATTCCACTGTCCCCCAAAAATGGAGGATGTTTTTCAGCCCCTGTACTTTTCTATGTTGCGTGTCTGTGTACCCAAAAAAAAAGACAATACAACACATACTTTGTGGTTTTCTTTAGCTCCATCAATGCAGGAAAATGGATTTTACGATATGCTTCCAGTTCTTGTCTTTCTTCTTCTCCCCCACCAAAGTCACACAGAGAATGAGCAACCATATCAATTTCAAACCTCAAGTGTAGAGCTAAGTATCTGGAAGCTTTTCCAGCACGACTTCTTTCATGTTTCATCTTTGAGTCTGCAAATGGACCAACGAGGTAATGATCCAGTAGTCCTGAGTGTGTTGCATTCTGACGCATTCTCTGAATAAGTAAAGCACCGGTTTCTTGTATGTTGGGAACAAATCGCAGTGCATGAAAATTACATCTGCATCGGAGTCTCTAGATGAAGTCCCAAATTAGGAAGAAAGACAAGAAAGAAGAGCACTAAACTAAGAAAGGAGTATGGATGAGTGGTTAATATATCCACAATCAGATAATTCTCAAAGCTGGGAATGGGCTAACATGTCATCAAAGGTTGGGGATTTACCTGCAACTGAAACGGTATAGGGTCAGACGCCAGGCGATTCCCAAATCCAACAAAGTGGATGACTCTATTTAGATGCAAGATAGGAAGAATGTATTTCAAGTAAAAACTTGGTTTTGCCTCTTTCACAATGTCTACATCTGTCACCTATACAGAATTTAACACATTATTACAATACAAATGATATGTATCAGTGATGCAAAACTGTACTTAAAAGTAGCTATTCAGAATAGATTGAGATAGGAATCTGACCACACTACCAATTGCCTCCAGATCTAATGACTGTAGCTCTAAAGGAAGCTCCTTTACTATCCGAATATCAAGCCTCAAGTAGTTGATAAAATGCTCCTCCTGATAGATATCGCCGAATTGACTAAGAAATTATAGAATGGGGCAGTCACTTCTCCATTGAAAACAGATATGGGATGTGAAAACAGTTGTACCATCAAAACCACCCAAAACATAAAATGTTAAATAGAATGAAAAATATACATATAGGTGCTACTCCCCATGATACTATAATCCTTTGAATCACTTCGCGGCTTCAACAATAGGGCATATGCAATGCTTAATGGTCAAGGCACAAACAAATGAATGATGTGCATGATCGATATGCGAACAAAAGACAATCCTAAATCAAAATGTGTGGGCACAAATTCATCTAACATAAGATGCCCATATAGGTTAAAGTAAATTCAATTTATGCGTGGTCAAATGTGAAAATAACAAAAAAAAACCAATCTTAGATAACCTAGGTAGACAATCACAAAACCCAGATTCATATAAAGGTGTCTGATACATAAAACTGACATAAACTCATTGCACATGATTGATAAAACTCACATAAACTCATTGCACATGATTGATCGTAACAATCAAATTTTACTAACACTTTCAAAGTAACTGCAAAATATTCCTCAAACAAAAACATTTGTGATTGTGACTTCAATGGAAGCTTGGGAAATTTAAAACTATACTTATGTAAATACAACGATGAAAAAAAGAGAAATCAAATTGCGTATCTCTCTTGGTAGTTAAGGCATGTACCAAGGAAAATAAAAGAAAGTCGATAATATGCAGAAAAATGCATGTTTTGAAACATCATCGAACTCATATAAAGAGTAATTAATGAAGCAAACTTGTACTGGCCCTCAGAGACGCAATTGAGAAGTAATCTTCCATAAGGGCAGTAGAAGCCAAACATGCCTTCTAAGAAAAAGGTAAGACAAAATAAATGGAAAATGAAATAAAAAGAAAGAAATAAAAAAGTAGTATGTCACCTCACATCTCTCCAGACGCTACTGTACAAAAATTTTGGAAGAACAAGAGTTGCATTGAGTAATCTAGCAACAGCAACAGCATTGCAGACCTGTTGTCAAAATGGAGCCATATTTTACTTTATACATAATGGTGTCCAAAAACTACTATTGCTCAATGGGAACAAAACTACTTACTAGAGAATTAATGCAAATCTAACGGTCCAACAAATATGAAAAATCATAGAAATAGGTAATTCAACATAGACATAACTTACAGCTACTCGCTGCTGGTTGATCCCACCATTTGCGCTAACCATAATGTAACCCTTATTTTCCTCTGATAGTGTGTCATATAAATCAAAATATGAGAATCAGATTTAAGTGATGATGCAGGCACATGAGGACACACACACACACACACAGACACACACACACACACACGCAGACAGATAGAGAGAGAGAGAGAGAGACCACTAGGTTCCCAGTTGCGGTGTTGGGCATAAGGTTTCCATGATGAAGCAGCAATCATGTAGGGTTCCTCCCACAGGTCCTTGGGCTCTGGCTTGTTCTGTCCCTGAGTATTGGAACATCAAATTATGGCAAAGAATAGCAATAAAATCACTGAAACAAATGTATTAGCAGTAAGAATGAAAAACAGGGGCAGACCTAAGTTATCTGAGGGGAGTCATGACGTCACCCAAAACAAAGTCTTCTTCAAATTTCAACCACCAGCCTAGCAATTTCACATTGTTCTCAAATAGACCCTTACATATATACTATGATGACCCTTAAATGAACCTTTTGTATTCACCTTGTCCCCCCCCGAAATAATGTGTTCTAGGTCTGCCTCTGATGAAAACTAGCTGGATTAAATTTTGCAACCAGAGCCTACCTCTGCTAAGGCATGCGCAGCCTTAGCTAACAGCCTTGCATAAATAGTTTTGTGCAGCCTTTTCCCCTTACCAAGCTTTCTCAGTTCTTCCTGCAACAATTACGACAATTGAATTAGTGAGCCAATAGCACAACAATCTAGACCACATCCATAAGTTAAAAGAGTATGACATTTTTACCCTGTTTATTCTACAGGAATAAAATGTTCCGACAAGACAATCCTAGGCATACAGGAAGAATCGACTGGATTCAATCAGCAGTTGACATGGTTAATGAACATCATTAATTCAAGCCCATAAAAAAAGAAATTAAATACTCCATTAATTTTGAAACTCACCTTACCAAAATCTTTCATTGATTCTGAAGCTGGCCCCACTAAAGTCCTTTAATTTTAATAGTGGCATTAATACTTTCAGGAAGGCATTGTAAATGTTTAACCAAAAAACAATATTTTCTCTTGCAGCACATCTATTTAGATATGAAACCCTATAAAACTGCCAATATAACAAGCATGCATCTTAATAGTTATTGGTATATCAACGTGGGTAGTTTTAGAGGGTGGGCCTTGGTGCAGCCATAAAGTTGTTCCATTGTGACCAGCGTCAACATTTCAAGCCATAGAAACAGCCTCTCTACTTGCAAAGGATAATACTGCGTACATCTGATCCTCCCCAAACCCAACAAGAACCTCATGCACTGGACCGTCCAATTTTGGTAGTTTACAAACTGATTAAGAAACAAATACCCTTCAAAATGCCATCATCCCACTATTTGTGTCTCAATTAATACCAAAAATACAGTTCTGCATATTTAGTAGATCTTGCCACATACTTTCATATTTTCCATCTTTAAAATAATTTAGTAAATCACATTTGATAGATTAATATAACGGAAAAAATTGTTACTGCTTAATGTATTTGCAATCTTTAGAATTCTTAAACTTCTTCATCTAAATTTCCATTCATATATCATGAGACTGCTAATAACTTACACCATCTATATTTGTAAGCAATCAACTTTACCATATCTCTAAACAATTAATTCAATCAAACTACACTTGCAATAAATTGAAAAGTTGATCTCTTTACTGTAAGTTTGTTCAGTAATTTTCCCAATCAAACTTTTAAAAACTAAACATAAATTCATCAAAAATATAATTCTCTTACACATTGTCAAAGTTCTCACCTTTTTGAACAATGCAATCAATTAATGCATGACCCAAAGAACAAAAAAGGTTGACAATATTAAGCGAGCTCATACAGCATGTGTTCAATAAAATTAATATGAAGATCAAGACATACCCGAATGTGTATGGTTGTCGAATTAGTTCTCAAGAACCTGTACTTGAGTCCTCTACTACGACCCGGCTCTTGGATCCGAAAAAGCATCCACCAATTCATCAAGAAGAAACAACCCACCAAAACCACCACCCCTACCGTTACTGCATTCCTATGCCAACCCCTTTTCTTCCTCACCCTCTGCTGTTGCTTCGAATCCATTACAAAACCCAACCAAGACCACAACGAAGAAGATGAAGAAACAGAAACACCCAACCTCTGAGAAAACCGAGTAGTGCGAACTGAAGGCCTCGGAGAGCTATGTCGGCTTCTAGGAACCGGGCGAGAAGATTATAACCATGATGGATTCCATTCGGATCGATCTTAAAGGACAGCTTCGTCGCCGTCGTTGAGGGATTCTCTACCAGTAGCGTTGGATTGAACGGTGAAGTCTGAGAGCTTAGAGTGATTTGGGGTGGTCATAGGTATAGTATAGTTAGCTATTTTGGGATTGTTGAGAATTTTTCGTTAGGACAATGGAATAGTGAGAGAAGAGGAAGGTGTTTGGATTCGCAGGCGTTGAGTTTTGGTTGTCTTCGGACAAGGAGAGCGAAAGAAACGGGAGGAATGTGAGGTTGCGAATTGTAAGGGGGTGGAAAGTTTGGTAGTTCAACATAAAACTAGGGGACTTAAATAAAGTTTTAATAAATTCAAGTGATAACAAGTAAAATTATTTTTGATAAGGAGAATTACACCTAACTCCCCTAAAATTTATCACTTAATCAACCAGATCTCTTAATATTTAAAATATTACATATAGACCACCTAAAATTTACACACATTACACTCAAACCCATGATATAAATATTTGTAAGCATATGATATTTAGACTTCTTAAGTTTAAAATATTATAATTAGACAAAAAATACTTCAATTAATGATAAAATATCAAATATTTTAAATTTTACAACCAAAATTCATGTTCTATTGTATAATTTGTTGAAATAAAATCAAAAATAAAAATTCAATTTTTTCCTTAAAAAGTAGTAATTAGTATACAATGCATATTGGAATTTAATTTGGTAGTTTAAATGACTAAATTAAAATATCAAACTACCTAAAAGATATTGTGTCTATTACAGTTTAACCAATTGTTTAATTTTTTTAGTTTTATTCTATTAGATATTATAATTATATACTAACTATGATTTTTTTAAAACTAGACTTTTATTTTTGATTTTATTTCAATAAATGACATAATAGAATATGAATGTTGAATGTAAAATTCATGTTCTATTATGAATGACTTAGACCCCTTTTTTTATTTTTTAGTTTTATTCTAATAGATAGTATAATTGTATACTACTTATGATTTTTTAAGAAAAAATTTAAAATTTAAATTTAAATTTTATTTTAATAAATAATACAATAGAACATGAATTTTGGTTGTAAAATTAAAAATATTTGATATTTTATCTTTAATTGAGGTATTTTTTATCTAAGTATAATATTTTAAACTTAAGAGATTTAAGTATTATATATCTACAAACTTCAGAGGGGTCTACGTATAATTTATTAACAGATATATTTATAGTAGGGTTTAAGTGTTACGGGTGTATAAATTTTAAAAGGTCTATGTGTAATATATTAAATATCAAGGGATCAGAGTGATTAAGTGATAAACTTCAGGAAATCTAAATATAATTCTCTCTAATGAAATTTGTGCAATATATATAATTAAGTAAAATATTGAATATAGATTAATTGGATTTGAAGACCCTAAATAAAAATTTATTTCACATTAAAACACGACGTTTAATGAGTCCAACTTGAAGTAATAATGAATATTTATCTACATAAACCACATGTGACAAGTTTGATTGAAGATCAATCAGATTAAAGGAAAGATTGCATATGCTAAGCATGACCTTACCGTGGTGAAAATTTTTAGTACTATGAGCATCTCCAACCCACTCTCTATTTCTTCTCTTTTAGTTACTTTAACTAGCCAAACACAAACAATTCTCTCCAACCCACTCTCTATTCCACTCTCTATTTTCTAGTTAACCCAAATGGCTCACCAAATGTGGTGAGCCATTTGAGCTCTCTAAATTTTCTCTCTATTTTTTTTTCTCTCTATCTCTCTATATATATGTTTTACTTCTTTTAAATTATTGGAAGTTAATGAAAGTTGAGATTGAACAAATGTACATGAACCGTGGAGTTGTCTTATATTTCTTAGTACATCTGTGTGCACTTCGTAAACGTTGGTTATTTGTCTTGTTCTACTTTTAACCTACCTGTATTCCCTAAAAGAAAGTAAATTTAGTGAGCAATTCACATGGCACACCCTGCTCTTGATCCAAGAAAGCTTCACTATTGTAATTCAGATTTAGGTTCCACATGATCATGCAATTACCCTTTTTATGTTCTTGTTCAAAAAACTGTGCTACGACAGAGGATCGTTTTGACATTGTGATTTGTGATTCTCTCGATGCTAGATCACCAATCCTTTATTTTACAATTTCAAAAGAAGAGATTAGCTAAAATTAACTTAGATATTCGTGAAAACATTCAAAAACGATTGCAAATACAAGTAGGAACATATTTACCTCAAATTGACCTATAAAAGAAGCAGTTTCCAACTAAAATACTGTAAGCATTATAATTACAGTTCCTTTCGATATCGCATTGACCACACTTCGACAAACTTTTCCTCCCGAATCTGTTTGCATTTTAATCACCATTCACCTTTGCACAATCGTATACAAAAATTGCAAAGGCTGCCAATAACTTCTGCAAGGCTGGATAACTAATATGGCATGTCAATTACCTCCTGCTCAGGAGTCTTGTAAATAAAACCTGATTCATCACTTGATCGCCTTTTGACCATGCTCGCCCTCTGCATTAATCGGACCAGTGCTTGCACAACTTCAGACATGGGTGGACGAAACTCAGGTTCGGGCTGCAGACAAAATGAGAAATGCTTATTAACCAGAAGTTCTTTTCGAAGATTTCATAGATCATATATCATGGTGATTCAGAAATTATCTGCTCCAAGTGTGACTAGTAGAGATTGTTCGTGCACTAATTAGTCTCAAAGATATCAAAATCTGATATTTGGATGTAATAGCATGTGTTAATCAAGTAGCACAAGTTCATAGCTATGCAGAGGGGAAATTCCATCAGAAGGTGACACTACACTCGGTTGCACGCAATACAAGACGGAAATGCAACTTAGCAACTTTGGCTTAGAAGTTGATTGGAACTCAACCTGTCTCCCTACTTTTAAAATTCTAGACCACCACCCTACTGAAAAATTGCAGAAGTTACAGGACAATAGTCGTTTAAGTTACTCATTGGTTTATCGGGAAAACAAAAAAAAAATTTATGAAAGCAACTTTTGGGACTAACGGTTGTAAAGAACTTTACCTGAACACAGAGTGCAATGATGTCAGCAAAACGTGACAAAGATTTTGCAGGATACATGCCATTAAGAGCAGGATCAACCATTTTTGCTAAGGCATCTATATCATGGAGTTGAGGAGTGGCCCATCTCACAAGTGACTGTTCCGATCTCACCCTTGAGCTAAACAATGAAATAACCAAAAGAAAGAAGGAAAAGCATGGACAAATCAGAATCCAGAGACTGAAGAAAAAATACATGGGACAGTTGGGACTTATGGGATTGAATTTACCTATCAAGTGGCTTCCGAGCTGTCAACAGCTCCAACATCACCACCCCAAAGCTATAAACATCACTTTTTACAGTGTATATTCCAGATAAAGCAAACTCAGGAGCACTATAACCAAATGAACCCACCATCGGATTCGATGAAACCTGTCAAACATTAGGGCAAAGATTATCATAGTTGTGGCGTAGACCTGCTTCTATACCCTATAGGTCCAGGGTATTTTTAGTCAAAAATAGCCACTTTGCAAGAACAAACTGAAAGCTTGCTTTCCACATTCAAAAAACTCTGATAGCTCGTATCTCAGACAGGCATAGCTCTCTTGATTTTATTGGGGGGCTTTCAAGTGAAGCAAAGAGATATTTGCATAACATTCGGAATAATCCAGCTGCAAGGACTTCCATATCACCAAAAAATTTGAGTCATGAGAAGACCTTTAAGGTAGGTTTGGTGTGGGAAAAGGACGCGCGGATGGGTAAAGGAGATGTAAAATGGCAGCAAAAAAATGTCCTTTGTTTGGTTAGGGAGGAAAAGTGAGAGAAAAGGAAGAAAGGGTGGAAAAAAAAAACCCAAACCGCCCACCAATTTACATCCTCCCGAAAATGAGAGAAAAAGAAGACAGAAAAGGGGACATGATGGGGTGGAGTTGGTGAACCTTCTTCTATACCTTCATATGGCAGTTGGATTTCCCACCTCTCTTCATCAACTTTCTTCCGACCAAGTCTTTTACAGGTTTGTCAGTCAAATCAGAAGGTTCACTTAGTTGTTTAGTCTTCTTTTTGTCAATGTTTTTCTACAGATTTCCATAGAAATAATAAATGTTGACATGAATTTGCGTCTTTCTTAATTTTGGAACCTATGACTCACTGATTGTACAATATTAATATTCAAGTGTAAGGCTTTTATGGTATTTAGTGTGAAGTAATTTTCATTTCATTTTCTTTCTACAAGTAAAACACATTAGAAAATCCATTCCTCTACTTTTCTATCTTTCGTACCAGACAAAAAGTACAAACAAGGAAAATACTGTTCTTTTGTCTTGAAGGATGAAGTCGACAGCTCATATTTTTCATCATTTTCTTTTCCATCCTCTTAATTAATAGATTATAAAACAAAAGCAAACAGCACCTAAACAACAGTTACCCTCTCCAATTTACCTGTCGCTCTGTGTTTGGTGTCAGAGCAGCTATCCCACAGTCTGACAAGTGGGGATTGAGCTCTTCATCAAGTAAGATGTTCGCTGACTTGAAGTTTCTATGTACAACAGAAGGCAGACACACTTCATGCAAGTACCTGAGAGAAAGATGCTGCATTTAGGAAGGAAACTCACACACACACATAGAGAAACAGAGAGATATGACATACTCTAGAGCTCGGGCAGTGCCAAGTGCTACTCTGACACGTGCATTCCATGTCAGCATCTTGCTCCTATCTTCAGTAAAGTGCAGCATATCGTGCAAGCTTCCATTTCCAATATAGTCATAAACCAGAAGACGTTGCCCATGCTCTGCACAAAATCCTGCCAACGGCACGATGTTTGGGTGTCTGAGGCGTGACATATTTGACACAGCTTCAAGAAAATTGTCTTCCTCTTGCAGTGACACTGCTGCATTGTCGAGCTTCTTAATAGCCATTATCTAGAACAAGAAATAAATTCAAATGTCAGGTCGACATTGTAGATATCTAATATATGAGCACCAAAAACAACTGCTAGTTCAGCTGACGTACATGGCCATGAACGTGCTTGATCGTAAAGGCCATGACATCTCAACCATATATCAAGCATTTGACTTCAAGTTGAAGAAGCCCAGAAAATGCCATAACGAATTTAACCCTAACAGCAAGAGGAGTAAGACAACCACTCAACAGATATGTCATTTAGCAAACTCACTAAGCTAAATGGCATATCACTCACCAACAGCACTGGAAGAGGGATTTCATAGTAAACTATGATTCGTATTATTGCTTCCCCTGAAATTTTAATATAACTACTGATTTGTGAAAAGAGACCATATAGTATGGCAATGCCTAACAAGACTGTGATTCAGTAACTATGATCCTGAGAGAAACAGTAAAGGTTTTCATTAAAAGAACTGCTTGAAAGATTAGAGTAACAAAAACCATGTGATTGTTGTAATGACAAAAGAACATACCACATAAATTAACTAAAAGGTATGGCCTGGATGGATCAGAATGGGAACACACGATTACCCAGTATAGCTGATCCAAATGCAGCGAACAAATTTCCCAAGGAGAGAAATATTAAGATTAGCCACAACTAGAATTAAAAAAAAGGACACAAAGAAGGGTGTTGGCATCCCTTAGTATTATGAAGTCTCTGGCATGGTCTCCTTCAATGTGAGATAATAAACAGACGGTGAAGTGTTACATGAGATAAAATCAGCGAAGGGGTGCATTTCGATGAGAGACTACTAAACTTCAGCAAAGAGGGACTGGATGAAAGAAATCAAGCAACAAAAACTAGAATGCCATCCTAGAGGACCTGGACTCTCTCAGTATTGCTTAGAGCCACAACTAAGCAGCTAGACCATCTACTTAGAAAAATTTTGGCATCTCACTAAAACCTTCTACACAAAACATTCAGATATTCCCCCACAAGGTTTCCACCATGCAAACCCCACCTGGGTTCCTAGGATAAACAGAACGACTTGCCTTCTTATAAATGCTTATGTGATAAGCCTGTTATAACCATTAGGGATCATAAAAATATGTGATTTGAATTCAGACAAGACTACACAGCCATAACAGAATGACATTACCTTTGCATTGGGAAAGTCTGCTCTATAAACACGACCAAGTGAACCTTCACCAATAAGATTTTCTTGACCAAAGCTATTTGTTGCTGTTTGGAGAGCTGCAACTGTATAAGAAGTAGAAGTTATAGGGGACTTCACTCTCTTTACTGATCCATGTTTCCCTTGTATCCTCTCAACAGCCAACTTTTCTGCAGGTGGCAGCTTCAAATCTGCTACGGCAGCTGTGGATTTTACCCTCTGCTCTCGCATGTCTGTATTCACTACAAAGCACAGGAGAATGCAACATGAAAGAGGTCAGGATGCCAGCAATTAAGCTTTCAATGCAATCTTACAAATGAACCAAATTTCAAAGCACAAAGCAAGAAACAGAATATCCTCTTGCACAACTTAAGATCTGATTCTTTGGCATACATGAATAAAGGAACTTGTACAATTCACCTCAAAATTTTAGCTACTTAGTCAAATGACCAAGCTATGTAGCCAAGATTATGAGTTGAGTGAGTTGAGTGCACACTAGACCACATGGGAAGCCAATGGACAGGGGCAATGAGGGAAGACATAAAGTACCTGGTGTTAAGAGAGTTTAGATTTAGCTTATTATAAGCTTTATTACGGTTAGTTTAGTCATTCTCTTTTAATTATGTTGCCCTACTATATAAGGGTTTGCATTGTGTATCTCAGGTTCATGTTTTGACAGATTATTGTAGCCATAATATATTATCATTCTTTTCTCTCTTCTCTCTGCTTTGCTTCGATCAATATTATCACATGGATACGCCTAAGATATTGCTCCTTGATGTAATAAGATTGGTATGATCAGGAACCATATTAGTGACATTTAAGCTTACGTGAGTTTAGGTTGATATCAGTACTGGGAAGGTTTAAGTCATACACAATAGATTCATTAAGTACCATAAATTTCATCATATTAAGGGGAAACATAACTTGATTAAAAAGGATAGAAAGTTTACAACTGAAGAAGTATAAAAGAGACGTCAAAAACTATGGGTAAGCGCTTCAGAAAAGAATGAGCTACAGTCAAACCCTGTAGATGAAATATTAAATTTCCCAATAGTCTAAGGGAATATTAAGATTTTGACATAAAAGAAGGTAATTTATTAAGCCTTTTTGGCAAAAAACAAAATGAAAAGACACATTAGGAAATGGGCAAAACAGAAGCTTATCGAAATGTACAATAGAATTTACTATCAAGGACAGCTCCTTGGCTTATAAGTCAGATCAGTATTTAAAAAATGAGGAAGTTACCAGCTGAATTTGCTTAAGCAGAGAGAGGAAAAAGAAAAATACGTACCTTTATCTGTGCTAACAGGAAGACTTCCTGTAGAAGGTCTTGTAGCAATTTCCTTCCTGTTGCCCTTTTTAAGGCAAAACACAAGTGCAAGTAGGGCAAAAAGAGCAACCAATGAAGAGCCAATAATTATGCCAACTATAGGTCCAGCTGTCAACCACTTCTTTCTATTTCCTCTGCCTGGATTGGATGATTGACCACCAGAGCCTTGGGGCGTGCTTGCACCAGGAGGAGAGTGGCTGGCATTATTGTGAGATCTACCAGGAGGAGGTGGTGTATATGGTGGTGGTGGAGGAGCAGGAGCATTATCAAATGAATTTCCGTCAAATCTGTATTATTTTGGTTACATCAAAAATATTTCAAAAATGTTAACATCCCAACACAAATGAGCATAGTGGTAATTCAAGGGATATAATTACTTACTTAAAATTAGGGACAGAACTAAGCTCTCTTGGTATCCATCCACTGAAATGGTTGTTTGCAACATTTCTGTGAAGACCATAAGGTGTTAGAATAACTATCATATTCCAAACCCAAACACCAACACCAACAAGAAGAAGAACTTACAGATCAGTCAAAGGCAAACCAGCCAAAACATTTAGAGAACCACTTAATTGATTGTTCTGCAAGTGACTGTCACAAATGCACATAATATGAGAAAAACAAAACTGCAACAGAATTCTAAAAAATTAGCACTTTATTACACTCACAGAGTCGAAAGATTGGACAGTGAACTGAAGGAAGGGGGCATATCTCCAGCAAAATTGTTGAAAGACAGATCCCTGCATTACAGGCATGTCAATACAACATGGATAACACTTTGAACTTATCGGGAGAGGAATCCTTTGTCATGGGCATGAATAATGTAACAAGTAGAACAGTAAGAGAATCCCCTTAACCTAAGTAATGGCTTATCCAAAAAAAAATCTATTAAAAATGGTAGTTGTTCCTGTCAAGTAGTCAACACACTGAACACAATTAAGATACATCCTGATGTAAAACAGGTCGCAGTAGATTTCTTGAAGCCGGAGAACCGTCGTGCATTCAAAGAGCAGCGGAAGGCTAGAAAGTGTCGTAGAGGCAAAATGTTTCAGACTCGGAATTAAGCGGGACGAGTGTCATTTGAGCCGGTTCGAGCCAACGATCAGCACTCATAGTTTTGTGATTATTGAGGCCCTTTTTCAGCGAAATTCCATCGTTTGGCCCTTCAAGTCTTTGTTTTTTCCGTTTTAAGAAAGAATTCAAAATTTTAACAAATCATAGAAGACTTTGAACTTTGGGTCATCAATTTTGTTAGACTACAGATGATACGTGCTTTTATACTAATTAGCTAAATTGTAACTTTCTATTTTTGGTAAATTTCGTACAATTTTTTATGGGATTTTTTGTCATACAATTAGGGTTTTGACCTTTCCTATATTTATTTCTCGGATGTACTACAAGTTATTCAGCCAATAATAAATATTTTGCCAAAGTTCTTCTCTATTTTAGTTGTGGATTTAGAATGCGTATGTGTTACATATTTCTTTGTGCTCTTCATTTACCGTTGCGTTACATCAACAACAAGCATCAAGCACCCGACTTCTACAACTTGATAGCGAGAGAATTTGAAGTCTTATCATAGTGCAAACTACTTGCCAAAGTAGATTTGGTCAAGAAGAACACAATAGGAGAGACACCAACATAGAAAATACAGGCACATTTGGCTTACCAAACCCCACCATCCATACAAAAATTGGACCATTGAAGGGGCATTAACATAGTTGGAGTCAAATTGGAAAGACAATAAGTGCAAAGCCATTGTTGGGTAATTGACATAATACAAACACCATTACATTGTAGCCGTTGGATTTTCTCCATTTCATACTATTCAAAAAAAATGCCAGCAAATGGCTAACAGCATCAAAAGGATAATAAAGAATCACTTAAGCAGATGTCTTACATGGTAGCAAGGACAGAATTATTAACAAACATATCTCCAATCGATTGAGAGAGCAAGTTACCGCTAACGTTCCTAAAACAAAGAATAATAGGGTTAGAAATACTGCCCAAATGACTAGGTTGTTAATATACCAATGGAGACAACACACTCACACACATCGGTATATTGATACCCATAATTAATATTGTGTAAAATTTAAGATAATGAACATCAATGGCATTCAGGATGTGCAACTCACAAAAAACTAAGAGAAACCATGCTGGCAATGGAATAAGGAAGATTCCCGCTCAAATTGTTGTTTGCCAGATTTCTGCATCAGACAAATGGATAAGTAATGTACATCAAGCCTTGAATTAAATGGTTTTTCAAACAAAACATAATTTGATGCTTTTAAATATTACAGGCTTGTAAGATTTGGTGGTAACTGGTATGGAATTGAATCATGGATGTTGTTGCCACTCAAATCCCTAAAACAAACAATAGATCACAATAACATTAATAACATATCAGCCAAAATTTTGAGGGAAAAAAATACAATTACAATGTCTTGGAAAGTTAAAGACTCTAAAGAATACTCTTACATTGTTCTCAAGGATGTAAGGCTGTTCAGCAAGTATCCCATCGTTCCGTTGAGTCCTAACCCGGAAATATGACTGTTAAACAATAAAAAAAGCATCTCATGATTCACTAAGTCATTCTTAGACCACAGAATACAATCTACAAAAAGGCTATTCTTGTATGATATAATCCTGCTTTGAGATTATATACACTCACATAGAAACAACAGCAGAACCCTGGCATGTGATCCCCTTCCATGACTCTCCACACGGATCACCACCACTTGATTTCCAACCAGCTAGCTGTGAGGGACTATTCAATGAAGTGTACATCACCTGAAGTGCCTGCACTGTAATTCAAATCACCTCATTCAAACCCAAAAAATTTTAGGCATTCACATCAAAATATTCGACCAACAGTTACATGCCTCTATGTATGTATCTAGATAGATGTAAATATACATGTGTGTGTGTATTTGAGTGTTTTTGTTTGTTTTCATGTATTTAATAGGCAAAGATCACTCCCTTACGCCGTAAATGCTCAATCTTAGGCTTGCCAAAAAAGAGTAGCTTGATCACCAATCAATACATATTACAACAAAATTACTTCAAATCATTTCACAAACTCTACATGTCTACAGAAGCAAACACCCATTTCGCTATATCAGGATAAAAATCCCTCATTTTCACATCAAAAGCTCAATTTTCGAACTCACAATCACTCTCGACCTCGTCAAGTGGCAAAAAACTGCAGCCCAAACTCGACAATCGCATCACATTATCAAATCAATCAAAACAAAAATAACAGCAAAAGTTACAATGATCAAAATGAAAAAAAAATATACTACCATCATTCGGACCAGTAGTTCCTTCAACAACATTCAAAGCAAAGATCATCGTAATGATCAACACCATTAACTCAGGACAAAACTGAGAGGCCGATATTGAGAAAGCTTTGTTCCTCTCCATTCCTGTTCTTTACAGTGGCTACAGTTAGGAAGTTCGCATTCATTCACCTAAAAGACATGCAAGAGAGCCATTGAAGTGAAGAAAAAGAAGACAATAAGCTGAGATCGTATCGCCATTGAAGAAAAAGACTTCGAGATTCGAAGCTTAGAGTAATGAAGAGAGAGAAACCGAGTGTGTGTATATATATACGTGTGTATCTATATCTATATGTGTCGGCGATAGTGAGAGAGAAAAATTGAAAAACAGAGTGAAAAGTTGGCAACCAACGTATGACACTAGCTTTTCAGGGTCTCTGTCTCTGTGTGAAGTTAGAAGACCAGATTGCCCTTGGTGATAGGTCATAATTGCGGTAATGCCATTTATAGTACCACCGACGGTGGACTATGAGTGGGATTATTGGATGCTAGATGGTGAGATGACTGACGTTGACTAAATTGTTCAAAATGACTAAAGTGTCCTTATGTGCTCAACATTAGGGGGACTTCGTACTTTGTACTTTATTGACTTGGGAATTTGAACGTGTTTGATGACTGTTTTTTTTTGGTGGTGGGGGGGAAGAATCCTCCAATTTATAATTTTTTTTTTAATTTTGGTCATTAATTTTTTTAATTTTGATTAATTTGTTATCATCAATTAGATTGAGAGATACAACAGCTTAATGGTGTATGATTGAAAATGATCTACATCATAAGACACTAATAATTATTTCTCAAATCCAATTTAAAAAACATGGGTTACTAACAATGTTAGTGTACCAAAAAAAAAAAAATCAAAATAATAATTTACTAAGTTTTTACCGACATTAAGCAAAGTTGCAAATTTTATTGGTGCTAAAAATAATTCAGCTAATATTAGAATAGGGGCGGTGCCGAGAATTAAGTCCTGCCCCCACGTGGCTCCACCATTGTTAGAGAAAGAGCGAAAAAAAAAAAAAAGAGGGACCCTACTAAAAGATTTGTAACCGGTCAACATTGAGATTATCTAGATTTATGAGAATTCAATGGTGTAAGAACTTTTGATAATTGAAATGGCTTGTAATAAATCCAGTCAAAAAGTTATTGAATGTGGTAATATCTCCTTAGAAAAAGTTATGGTAGGATAATTAAATCAAACTTTAGCAACTTTTGTTAATGGGAATTCATATCCACCATAGTATTAGATTTTGCAATTATAGAAAGCATTAGTTCAATCAAACTTTCGTATTAATAATAATAAAGAGAAAGGAGTTCATGATTTCGATCCTCATTGTTCTTCCTTTGTGTTTGGTTGAAAGGAGTTTAAGAAGGAAAATAGGAATGATAAGTTTTCTTTCTTTTGTGTTTGGTTGGATGGATGAAAAATAAAAATGAATATTTTTTTTTTTGGTGTTGGTTAAGATTATGAATAACAATCGAATCGTGTCATGTTGTGTCAAATTCGTGTTGATTCATTATGAATTTGTTTCGAATATTAGTCAAATCTAACTCAACTAATTGTGTTGTGTCAAGTTGAAAGTTGATGTATTTATTTTTGTATCGTGTTCGTATTCGTGTTGATCCACAAAAACTTTGAATAAAAAATTTAGCGCTAATATTCTATTTTTTTTTAATATAAATACATATTTTATTATTATGTTTTTATATGAAATTAATGTATACATAATATATGTATATATTAAAAAATTTATAGACAAATAAGATACATCTTAACATAAATAATTAACTTTTCATCCGCTTTCCTTCCGATTTTTGAGAGATTGATTTTGGTGAGTTGAAAGGAAAGTTAATTCATTCACTTTTTCATCCTTCCTATTTTCTTTCCTTACCAAACATTATATTTTATTTATCTCTTCAATTTTTCATCATTCTAATTTTTTATCTTTTAATTTTTTCATTATACCAAACGAAACATTAAAGAAAATTACTATTTTTTTAGCTGGAAAGCAGATGATAGTGAGAGTTACTCGTAATCCCTTTCTTACACTATTTAGATCACTTAACATAAATGTGGTTTATTCTATTATATTGAAGTGAGTCAAGAAAATCCAAAACGATAATCGATCATAGTTTTATTCTTTGAAGTTTACATTTTTTTTTTCTCAAAATATGTTATTATTGGTCACAATAATAATGTATCGGGAAGTCGTTATTGTATAATTAATTTATTAACATAGTACCGAACGGCAGGTGACAAATTGGGAAGGATCACAATTATTTTCTTTTAAGAATACAAGGCAACGTTTGACCCTGAGGTGTCTTGGATTCCTTGGTCAAATCAAAATAGTTATAAAGATGCCACTTGATAATTATGCAATTATTCATTTGTAAAGTAAGTGTGTTAACCGAGTTAAATTTAATTGTATTTAGGTAGAATGAGCAAACTCGAGTTCGAATCAAACTTGAATTCTTACTTAAGTTCAGTTTCTGCATAAGTTTGTAAACATTCAAGTTGAAAATTTAACTTCCAAAAATATTACGTTGTATGAATAATCAATCTTAGAGTAATTAATTTTTGTCGAAAAAATCTCCCACAATTTTATTTACAGAAATGAGAGAGAGAGAGAGAGAGAAATGTAGATGTATATAATCTAGAGATATATTTTGCAACTCCAATAGATAACTTAAGTGATAATAGGAATGAGTTGTAAATCTAAATGTTCTGAGTTAGAATCTTGACAACCCCTTAAAACTAGACCATGAAAAATTTATCTCTTATGAATACCTTAACCCTAGTGTGGATGGTCTGTGTTTGACAGGATCGAGGAGAAAATTAATTAAAATGCACGTAAATTGTTCTGAACACCCCTGATCATTGAACAAAAAAAATATGTTTTGCATTGTTCATCTTTCTCGGATAGCAATTGTTTGCTGATAAATTAGATCTAATTATAGAGAAGAACTTATTCGAATTAAGCTGAATCAAGTAAGCCACGCATTACTTGAAATTCGACTCATTTGTGTGAAATGATATAAGAATTTGATAAAATTGAATTCATTTTACAATTTGAATCAACTTAAATAAGTTAAAACCTAATCAAACTTGAGCTTTTCTTTGATGTCATTTTCACAAAGAATTAATGATCGCCATCGGCCGACGCATACCCCACGTCCTGTTCATCAGGCTGGCCTTAATGGGTCTTCTTTAGGCTATTCGTCAACTTTGTCCTAATTGCCATATCTTTTCAAAATCTTCAAAAAAATTCCTCCAAATTCATTGATTTTAAACTCATTTTTAACATTTATTGTGACAAAAAAAGGACCGACACTCCGTGGGTCAACAAACCACGGTGTGATGGATCAGGTTCGCACATGGATCTTAGGTCATTGGGTTTTTTGGGCCAGCTCATAAATCACAAGGCCAATGCGAGGCAAACTAGATAGTCGGTGATTTTAGGTTTTAATTGTCATTATACATTTTTAAAAAAAAAAAAAAAATTTGTATGCAACATTTATTGAATTCAGACAAAAAAAATATAGGAAAAATTGGTCTAATTAATTTCACATAGGCTGTTAAATCAAATTAGTGGAATTTTTTCTTTTTATAGCAACAATACTTCACTATTGGGGGAGGGGTAGAAAAGTTAGGAGAGGAAATGGGATTAAGTATCTCATGGTAACCTAGAACACGAGAAAATATTCATTAGAATAGTAATACCACATAGTAATGTGATGTAATATCACAATTTATTAATATTAAAACAAATAAATAAATAAATCCCTCAAAAATTAGTAACTAATCTACCATATAAGCAAATAACTCTCCACTCTCTTTCTATATAAGTCAACTTGCCCACTTGATGATAGGTCCCACATTAGTGGATATTTGTAAGGTAAAAGAGGTTTCAATCATTTTTATCACCATTGCTCAATTATTGTTCACCTCCATGCCATTGCTCTTTCTGTCCCTTGTCTGTTATCTAAATTTGGTTTTGTGAATAGGAATCATATTGCTAGAAACATGAGGATAGTTCAACCATATTCGAACATAACAAGTTTTAGGCAATGGTTGGGTTGATTAGGACAGAGAAAACTCCAAGTTATATCAGAGAACGATTTGTTTTGTGGGTGATTGTAAACATTTGAAATTAGTATTATAGTTGGGGGTTTAAAAATACGTGATTGCAGTGTCGTATAAAATTTCCTTCATTTTCAACGTTTTATTTTATGTTATTTCATTTGAATCGCTTAATCCTATTTTGCAATGTCACAACTAATGCATTTCATTAAGCTCTAAGTCAATAACGAATCCGTCGACCTTGATTCATGTGAGTGTGAAAACAAGGTTAGCATGAGCATGTTTCAAAAGGTTTCATTTTCAGATGAGTTGTATATGCTAACATGCTAAGATTACGACGAATGATAAAATTAACTTTTGAACTTATTTATTGTAAAAGGCCTAAAGCCCATCTATAGAAAGATCAGACAAGCAATTTTTGGAAACCCACTGGGGCTGAGAGTTGAAGCTGCTGATGGATTAGGGTTTCAATGGGCTGGATGACTCACCTGACATTAGAAGCCCAACCCAAAAATTCAAGGCTTGGGAGAATTTTGGGACCACGCATAAGATTTGGCCAACAAAATCTTCCATTAGTGAAAATTAGGGTTGAATTCTCCATAAAAGATTTATAATGAGTTTAAAATAAATTTATTTAGAGATAAATCTATTTTTAATCTTACTAATAAGTAATTAAGTCTATTATTTTTTTAAAACTCCAAAATACTCATTTAAATTTGAATTTATCTTTCTTTAAATTTAGATCTCTCCTTATGCCAAATTAAAATTTTTACTCGTTTTTTATTTTTACACAAATAAATTTGAGTAAGAGTTTAAATTTTCTTTGAAAATAGTGTAAGAATGATTATCTATCTTACACAAGAAACCTCGCTAACAATTCTAGCCATCAAATGTGAGTTACAGATATGTCATCTAGATTCGCAATATTTACATGCAAAGATTCGAGGATAGGCATC